GCTGCAGTGGCTGCCCGGGAGGCGGATGGGCAGTGCCGCCTGCCGAGGCTGCGGGACGGTGCCGGCCCCTCGCTGCCTGCGCCAGCCCGGCAGCACCGCTGTGCCGGGGCAAGCTGGGCTGCTGCGACTCGCAGCTTCTATTTTGGGAGCCGTCCCGGTGGCTTCTCAAGTGACAAATACGCGAGGGGGGTGGCAGACAACCCAGTGGGGGCTGAGCGCCGTGCGGAGCCTCTGCGGTGCTGCCCGGCTGATCTGGCAGCTGGTAGGCAGCCCCAGGCAGCGGGCAGGATCGCCCAGGTGCTGGCAGGGGCAGCCACTCGCCCCCGTCCCCCCGGCCATCGCAGACATCCCCCCCAGCGCTGCTGCCCCCTACCCCGAGGGGAGCATCCCCACGCCACGCCATGCCGTGCTGTGCCATGCCATGCCGTGTCAGAGCCCGTGCATGGCAGATGGGTTTGCCCCGGTGCAGGCAGTACCCAGGTCCTCGCTGGGTCAACCCCCCAGCACCTTTCCTGGTTTCCTGGCTCTTTAGCCAGCAGCAGTGCCTGACCCAGCCCGTGGCGAGGGAAACCGGCTGCTCATGCACTGGGAGCTCGTGGCTCCCGATGGCAGTGCTTGGTGCGGCCGCGGTGCCCGGCTGACGGTGACGGGGGGGAGCATGGGCAGGGTGGCCTGGCCTCACTGGTCCCCCGCCTGCTCCACTCTTGCTAACCTAAATAACTTGAAATAGCAGCGGCAGGAGCATGTGCAGAGCACTGTGCCGGCGGCAGCGCCTCCCACCGCGCCTGCTCCCCCCTCGCCCATGCTGGCATCCTTATCCTGCACAGCGTCCCTGAAATATTAATGCCGAGTGCCTTTTGATGATTCAAATTGGGTGGTTGTTAGAACCAGCGCAGGGAGAGCTGCTCATCGGCACCCCGTGGCCGGGGCAGGGGACATCAACGCTGGCAGATCCGTGCCATGGCAGAGCATCCCCCAACCCAGGCAGCCCCTCACCAGCGCTGGCCGAGCCCCTCGAGGAGAGGCCCCATGTGCTCCGGCCATGCCAGCACACCCATGCCGCTCACTGGGGAGAGCCGTTGCCCCGCTGTGTCCCCATGCGTGCGACGGGAGGGAGCCACTGTGGCGGCACACGACGTCCTGTCATGCCGGGGGGCTGGGGTCTGCGCGCCCCGCACCACCACTTTGGGGACCTGCTCTTTCCCATCCAGCAAGAAGGTCATCGGCAGGAGATGGGGCTGGACGTCCCCCAGGGACAGCGGGGGGGAGCACCGGGAAGGACACCGTGCCCCCCTCACCACAGCGGGCACCCTTTGGTGCTTGCGCTGCCATCCAGGCAGCAAAGGGCTGCCCGTGTCCTGCTCAGCCCTGGCATGGCACCGTGCCGGAGCCACCGCTGCCATCCCAACCGGGAGGATAAGAGCGCGTCACACTTTGGCAGGTCACCGCAATGGCCGCCCCGCTGTCCTGGGCTGCTCTGGCTGAGCTGGTGCTACGGAGCCTCTGCCTGCCCGTCCCACAAGCGTCACCCTGCACCGGCACCTGGCAGGACAGGGCAGCGTGAACCCCGCACCTGGTGGCGACCCGGGTGATACCTGGTAACCGGTGGTGATGCCTGGGCCTCAGTGATGCCCGGTAACCGACAGTGATGCCCAGGCCAGTGCTCTGCGGTGCCAGGTGGCCCCGCCAGTGCCAGGACTACAGCTCCCGGCGTGCCATGCCGTGCCGTGCCGTGCCGTACCGTGCCGTACCGTACCGGGGCTGCGGCCCTACGAGAGACGCAGCCAGGGCGCAGGGGGGGCCGCCGCTGAGTCAGGCCGGACGCTGCCGCCACCGGCACCACGGGACCCGGCCGCCCCAGGT